AATTTCTCTTAAACACAGCAATCTACAGAAATCATCCTTAATATGTGTTTTTTAAATATCAAATAAAAGGGCATGCCCAAGAACCCTGTGCCCCTCACCCTAATCACCGCATTAGTTGCATAGTAGTTACTAGTATTTACAATGTATAACTTAAATATTCCTAAAGTCACAAATTGAATAGGCCAATATCCATAATAATAACGTTAAAAGTGTAGATCTTATATAAATAATTGCGTAATATTATACCATGTATTAGTGTCTAAAATTCGAATATGTGAACCAAGTCAAATTTGCACGATTTTTGAAATAAAAGCAATCTTATCGGATCTGTACACTCGAATTTTAGTATTATATCGGTAATTTAACCTTAAGTGTGTTACTATGATTTTACCCGAATTTTTATCGGTGAGATTTTTAAAAGCTTTAGTATAACAATATGAGAGATTATTGCCGTTGCAATAGTTTAAAAAGTAAGATTATGCGTGTACAACCTCAGTCTAATTGCAGGTCATATAATGATGATCATTACAGCATTAATCAAGATTTTTCGGGAATTTACGCACCACCCACAGTTTTATTCATGCCATGTAAAATGTAACCCAAAATGGAAATGATTTACAACCAATATAACTAAAAATAGAAATGATGTTCAATAGAAATAACTAAAATTGAAAATTGATATAAGAAATTTATAGTGATGGGTGTGACACTAAGGAAGTGAATTTTTAGGGACGAAACCTTCAGGGAATTCACTATTTTTTGTGTAACATTCCTAAATGTCACATACACTTATATGTCACCAAGACAGAAGTAAACAATTTTTGTGGTGCTTTTGCGCATTTCGCCGACAATCACATCACACAGGCAAGTTTATTTCACCGACAATTATTTCACTGACAGCTCATTTCACCAACAAAGTAATTCTGGTCATTGTTGTCAGGTTAGAATTATAGTTAAAGTTAGTGTAATTTATAAAAAATACTTGTTGGTGAAATGAGCTGTCA